ACAAGCCACTATTAGAATGTCCTTTTTCTGAGGGCTTGTGCCGGGCCAAGTCCCTCCCATCGCCACTAGCCGGGCGCCTGAAACCCTCGGGTCTTCAGACCCCTTCCCCCACTGTTAGGAAGTCGGAGGAAACAAGCCTGCCCTCAGAATGAGAACTTCCTGACGGATATGGGCAGGGCTCACCCCCTGCCGTTTCTGTTGCCATGATAAAACGCCATGACTAAAAGAAACTTGGGGTGGGAAGGGATTGTTTCATCGTGCACCCTGCAGTCGGGCGAGAGAAGCAGAGGCAGGAACTGAAGTCGAGACATCATTGAAGGACAGCAGCTCACAGGCTTGCTTTCTTGCCTGCCTTTCTTGGCCCCACCCACAGCTGGCTGCTCCCCCCACCCACCCACACACACACACATCTATTAGCAATTAAGAAAACGTCTTACAGAGGCTGTAAGGATGAGTGGGCTAAGAGCATTGGCTGTTCTTCCAAAGGACCAGTGTTCTGTTCCAGCACCTACATAGTGGCCACAACTCTACTTAACTCCAGTTCCAGGGGATCTGTCAGCTTCCTCATGTTTCTTTAGTGCCAGGCATTGCATGCAGTGCACAGACACACAGGCAGGCAAAATCAAAATGCCCGTACACATAAAATAAAAATAATTACATTTTTTATAAAAGAAAATGCTTCAAAGGCATGGCTACAGGCCAATCTGATCTGGGTAATTTTTGTTTTTTGACTCTGGATTCCTCTGTGTAGTCCTGGGTGTTCTGGAACTAGCTCTATAGACCAGACTAGCCTCAAACTTAGAGATGATCTGTCTGCCTCTGTCTCCAGAGTGCTGGATTTAAAGGCTTGTGCCACAGGCCCAGCTGACCTGGGTAATTTTTCAATTAAGGTTTCCTCTTCCCAAGTGACTTTAGGTTTGTGTCAAGGTGACAGCCGAAGGTAGCCATGACAGTACTCAGCACTATCCTACCCCTGAGCAAAATGGGAGGCTGAAGGCTCTAGACCTGGCTCCTGAGAGGGTCACTCATTTCTGTGAGCTGGGGAACAAAGGCATGAGTTAGGCACAGGCAGAAAAATTAAATCGGAGAATGGTGACAAAGATGTCATCCTAAGTGTTTGAGAGCACAGGCTATGCAGCAAGTTCTAGGATAGCTGGGGTGCATGAGATTTTGCCTCACAAAAACAAAACAGAGGCTGTTGAGATGGCTCAGGGGAAAAACATACTTGCCACCAAGTCTAATGACCTGAGTTCTAACCCTGGGACCCATATAGTAGAGGGAGAAAACCGGTTCTTGAAAGTTACACTCTGGGGGCTGAAGAGATGCCTTAGCAGTTAAGGGCACTGACTGCTCTTCCAGAGGTCATGAATTCAATTCCCAGCAACCACACAGTGGCTCACAACCATCTGTAGTGAAATCTGCGCCCTCTTCTGGCCTGTAGGCATATGTGCAGACAGGACACTATAATTAGTCTTAAAAAAAAAAAGAAAAAAAAGTTACCCTCTGACCTCCAAAGAGACAGACACAAATATAAATACAGTGTAGGTTTTTTCTTTTTTTTTAATTTATGGAGGAAACATCTCCCAATTTAAAAAATTCCCTTTCTCATGCTGGGGATACAACTCCATTGCATGGTTTGTTTTTTTTTTAAAGATTCTATTTTATTTTATGTACATTAGTGTTTTGTCTGCATTCATGTCTGTGTGAGGATGTTGGATCCCCTGGAACTGGAGTTACAGACAGTTGTGAGCTGCCGTGTGGTTGCTGGGAATTGAACTGAGGTCCTCTGGAAGAGCAGCCAGTGCTCTTAACCTCTGAGCCATCTCTCCAGCCCCACTGCGTGGGTTTTGAGGCAGCTGGTTTCTAGCAGACTCCCTCATCGATTCTCTGGGGTGTGTACACCTCTGGAGGAAGAGGAAGAGGAAGAGGAAGAGTGATGTCAGCGGTGCTCAGGCGTGGGAGGAAGGCTGGGTGCCTGCTTCACCTCCTGTTTCTGACCGGTTGGCCCTGCTCAGAACTGAACTCCGTGGGTTCAAACCACTACAGGGGGTCTTCCCTTCCCAGCAGAGTGGGCACATCCCCTTTCCTACTGCCTAATAAAGAGGTTGATATCAATATCTGCCATTGCTGCCTTGGGGTCTGAGGATGGAGGGAGGAGTGAAGAGATGTTTGTGGGGACTAAGCAGTTTTATCAGAGTGAGTCTCTACCAACAAGGTGGCTTATGGCTGCCAGGGAGCAGACAGTAGGGTGGCAGGGGTGAGGTCCCCAGGGAGGAGTGGTGGAAGGGCCTCCCTCCCATGAGACCGAGTGGCAGTGAGATGGGGGTTAGGAGCACCAGGGAAGAAATGCTGGGTTCCTGGTAGGCAGTTTTGTATCTCTTTATCTTTCTCTTGAGACAAGCTTACTATGTAGCCCTGGCTGGCCTTGAACCCAGAGAGATCAATTTACTTCAACTTCCCAGGTACTAGAATTAAAGACATGAGCCATCATGCCTGACTCCCTGATGGGCTGCTTTAAGCTGTACGTTTTGCATGATTTTTGGAGGGACAAACCTCAAAATGGTCCAAGACTTGGGAAAATGACATTCCTGTCTCTCCCCGCCCCCCTTTCTCAACAGAGACCTTTAAAGTGATGTTCTGGAAGAGGGCAGAAGAGAGCTGCCTGAGACCAGCTTGAGAAAAATGGTGTCTCACCAGGGAGGGGACAGCAGATGTTGCCTCCTGCAGTCACCCAGATGCCATGCCTTCTGAGGAAACAGGCCTTCTGCTAGGGAAGGGGATGAGGAGTAGAAGGCAGCTGTGGGGATTAGAGTTGCTAGGGCACAGAGGCCAGGCTATGTGCTAGAAATGTTTGGGGTGTTTTGCTTTGGTTTTCGAGACAGGGTTTCTCTATGTAGTAGTGACTGTCCTAGAACTCACTCTGTAGACCAGGCTGGACTATAATTTAGAGATCCTCCTGCATCTGCCTCCTGAGTGCTGAGACTAAAGGTGTGCACCACCACTGCCCGGCTAGAAATGGTTTCTGAGCACATAACATGTGCTAGAACTATTTCAAAGCGGGCTGAGGGCTGAGCAATAAACAAGGCTATTCTCTATCCCATGGGACTTACATTCAAGAAGATGAACAAAATAAAAGTGCGGTCATTGGCATCCATGTCTGTGAATAAAAATAGTGGCAAGGGACCAGATTTGTAATCCCAGCTCTTCTGGAGCTAGAGACAGAAGGATCACAAGTTCACAGCCTGCCTAGGCTACAGAGTGAGTTCAGCCTGGGCAAGTTATTTTGAGATGATGTCTCAAAAAGTAATAATAATAATAATAATAATAATAATAATAATAATAAAATGAGAAGGAGAAGAAGAGGAGGAGGAGGAAAAGGAGGAAGAGGAGCATATGGCTAGAGATATAGCTCTTAGGAAGGTGCTTACCTAGAATACAAGAAGCCCTCATTCAGCCCATGGCACTGTGTAAAGCACATGCAAGTTATACCAGAACTCATGGAGACAGTAGTATCAGAAGAGAGTCTGAGAGTTTAAGGCCAGCCCATGTTACATTAGACTCTGTCTCAAAAGAGGGGCTTTGAGTGTTTGCCTTTTCACAACGTACTACTCACCCCCATCTCTTTCTTTCTTATTTTATTTTATTTTATGTGCATTGGTGTTTGCCCTGCATGTGTGTCTGTTTGAGGTGTCCAGTCCCTTGGAACTGGAGTTATAGACAGTTGTGGGGGCTGGAAATTGGAACACATGTCCTCTGGAAGAGCAGCCAGTACTCTTAACTACTAAAACATCTCTCCAGCCCCCTCTCCCATTCTTTCTTAATAAAGGTCACTATTTTGTTGTTGGTGTTTGTTTTTGTTTTTTGAAACAGGGTTTCTCTGTGTAGCTTTGGAGTCTGTCCTGACACTCACTCTGTAGGCCAAGCTGGCCTTGAATTCACAGAGATCCACCTGCCTCTGCCTCCCGAGTTTTGGGATTAAAGGCATGGCCACCACCTAGCCTCGCTATTTCTATAATATTAAATACAAATAATCCAGCACTCAGGAGGCAGAGGCAGATGGATCTCTGTGAATTGGGGGCTAGTCTGGTCTACAAAGAGAGTTCCAGGATAGCCAGAGCTGTTACAAAACAGGGGCTAGAGAGATGGCTCAGAGGTTAAGAGCACCGACTGCTCTTCCAGAGGTCCTGAGTTCAGTTCCCAGCAACCACATGGTGGCTCACAACCATCCATTATGAGATCTGGTGCCCTCTTCTGGTGTGCAGATATGCATGGAAGCAGAATGTATATACATAATAAATAAAATCTTAAAAAAGAATCACAAAACAAAAGGCAAGAAAAAGAAAGCTGGATTCAATGTGAGAGCAGATGCCTAATACCCTGAGTTTAACCAACAGTGCTGAGGGTAGGGAGAGTGATAAAGAGGAGGGGGGCCTGTGGATGAGTAGAAGGGAAAGAAAGGAGAGGAAAGGAAATGGGAAGAGAAGAGAGAGGAGGGAAGGGGGGAGGAGAGAAGAAGGAGGGGAAGGGAGGAGAGGAGAGATTTTATGTGGGTGCTGGCAGGGTAGCTAGGGAAGGGTCTCTGACAGTTAAGCTAAGGAACAAATGAGTCACACTGCTGCATTGGGTAAAGTGTCCACAAGGTGCTGAGGTGGGACCAGTTCCTGCAAGGAGGGTGGTTGGGTGGCTGTGGCTGTGGCTGTGGCTGTGGCTGTGGCTGTGGCTGTGGCTGGCTGAGGAGGGTCCTGGGAAACAGGTCTGTCTGAGAGAGTCAGGGGTTGCAGGTGAGCAGACACACCTTGCAGCTGTGCCCTAGATTCGCCTCACAAAAGCCGATGCTCCATTGTACCCAGAGGGGTAAATGGTAAATTCCAAAAACAATGATTTGACATCCATGCATGGCGAGTTCCAGAACAGGTTTCTAGTTGGGTG